GAGACTAAAAAAGAACGCGATGAGAAAGATCCTAAACCGGCACCCGTACTACAAAATGGTGGAGTTGGTCCTGTAACGCATCATCATATGCTCGGTAATCAAATAAATCCTGCGAGTACCGTTGCAAAAAATATGACAGAGACTTTGAGTATGGAGATCGAAGCACACAGTATTTACACGGCTGAACCACAACCAAATTTTACCGGCCCGCAATATCCTGGACGAAAGGATTCGGTAAAAATCGTTCAATATCATGATATTGATTTTTTAAAAATTATTTTGATTAATATCCTATTAATATTTTTTAGAGTAAAAACTCGTCAGCATCTTCGTCAACCACTTCTTCAGGTCCTGCATCAATAACATCAATGCTGAGTGGAGCATCGTCGAATGGTGCACCTCAAAGTCTTGAGCAACTTTTAGAGCGACAGTGGGAGCAAGGATCACAATTTCTTATGGAACAGGCACAACACTTTGACAGTATGTTTGATTTTTATACTCTCGAGACATTTTCGTAATTCCAATCTTTTTCAAATTAGTTGCATCGCTGCTCTCATGTCTTCATCAATTAAAAATCGAAAACTCCAAATTGGAAGATCATATAAATAGTTTAATATCAAGGCGAGATCATCTTTTAGCAGTCAATGCTCGACTGGCAATCCCTTTAAGTCAGCCGACATCAAATCAAGGTACATGACGGGATATGTGTAGATTTATTTCAATTTACTTAAAGATAAATTTTTTATTTAATTTAGTTACTCATAATGGACCATCAGAAGTTCAACCTCCTCCCCCCACACAACCTCAACCTCCTCAACAGCTGCAACCTATGACAGCAGCAGTAAATAAACGAATAACTTCAAATTTGAGCACTCACAATCAATTGACAGTGCCGCCAATGGAAAATGGTTTAGACTATCGAGGGCATCATTCGATTTCGTCATCAAATCAAATCCCATCATCATCGGCATCAATTCAACAGAATAGCGGAAGTGCTAGCAATAATATAAGGTTCAGGCCGTAGTAAATTTGAATCAAGCTTAAAAAATTTTTCCTCCTAAATATTTATTGTAGACATTCACCAGCCATGACTAGTGCGAAGAGTACTAATGTAATGCAACCAACACAATTGTCCCAAATTGTAACGATGGATGCTAATCAACAGATTCAGCAGCAGCCATCACATTCGCAATTTCCTCCACAGCATCAACAAAATGCTCAATTTCAGCCCATGTATCAACAGCAACAACAATCACATACAAGTAATGTGAACTCGATGAGATCTCGTCAAAGTAGTTCATATCAAACGCAACAGCAGCATCAAGCAACATCCGGATCGGTTTATCCAACGGCAGTTCATAAAACCAAAAATTAACATAAGAACATTATGGCGTGATAGATGAAAATGTATAATGTGAGTGTTATTGTCCTGTAAATATTTAGATGGACTTAGTCCAGAATGGAAAAAATGTTCTTTTGAAACAAAATGGTCAAGTTGTCGTGTCATCGGATTTACTTCAAACTCCTTATTTTTACTTGGTTTATGACAGTTTTTGATTTTCTAAAGAAATTATTTTTCCTGTCGTATTGACTGCTAATTTCTATTTTTCTTCTTGCATAAACCATACTCTAAAGAATAATAATTATGTAGTAAATTAAATTATATCTCATCAGAACAAAGACTGCCAATTTAATTTTGAAGATAAACATAATGAAAAGTAAGAAAAAATAATAATTAATTGTGAAACAAGTTATGCCAAATTTAAAGACTTTTTCTCCCATACACAAACATACCATCTTTTGTGTTAATGTTTAATTTAATTTTAGTCTCATTATTTCCTTCAACTATTAACGTCACCTTAAGAAATAGCTTAGGATTTTTTTATGTGAAATGAGATTAATGATAAACCGAACACAAAAAATTATTAAGCTATTGTAAACTTTTGTCGATGCATTTGGCCATAAAAAAGAAAGCACGTAAAAGTAAAGCTCACACGATAAAAAAAAGTGCACTATTTGAGTAAAGAAAATGAAATGAAAACAAAAAAATGATTAAAAAATTAAAACAAATATAACTAAAACTATGATGACAACACAAATTTAAAAAATGATTAGATTTTTAGGCATTTAACGTCGCTGAAATTCTGAGAAAATGTAATATTTTAAATTATTTATAACACTTTTTCGATATATAACCTAATTTTGGTTTTTAAATGGATGATATATGAATAGCCATTAGATGAAACGGCTCAAAAATTATATAAAAGAATTAAACTTTTATTTTATCTGTCTGACATCTAGGTAATGTTTAATGGGGATACAAAGAAGGATTTTCTTGAATTTTTTTCTGTTGAGATTATTGAGGCTGTCGTATCTCAACAGATTGCAAGTCAGGATGACAAACTTATGCAATTAGTATAATGTATTCAGTTCAGTTTACTCATTATTCAATCTATACAATACTTTTGGATTAGAACTATCTATTATTTAAATATAAATTTTTTAACTCGATGTAGTTTAAAGTAAAAAAAATTCTACCCTCTCCATTTATTTTAAATCGGAAGTAAGAAGTAAAATATGTTCTTAAGGGCTTAGTCGCATACTACAAAAATGAAATAATTATAAATAAAAGATGATAAGCAAAAAAATTATTTAATTTTAATTAGCAAAAATTTACAATATATTATGTGAAGAATGAAAACAAACAAAAAAAAAATATTAAACAAAAAAATAATGAAACATTGAGTATGTCAATTGGCGTTAAGTCAGTCTGGCATGTCAAGCATAGTATAGTTGGTATTGAATTGTATAATTAATTTTAGAGAATGACAAAAAAAAATGAAAAGATTTAGTGAATACTCGACTTGTGTTTTAATTTATAATGATAATTGAGAAAAGGCTTATTAATTTTTCCGTGGGTTTGATACCCTCAATTTCTCTCTATCTCTTTCTCTCTTTTTCATCCATCCATCCTTTCTTTTCTTCTTTATTTTTTTTTTGATTTTGGACTCTATGATTTTTTTTTCAACGGCTAAATAGCTTTATTTTCTTGGATTTTTTGTTAATAGTGTTTTAAACGTGATTTAGAAGACTCGTCTCAGCTGAACATTATTGTGATGGTACTTATATGGTCGATATTTTTGCAATGTTCTGCTCGAAGTCATGAACAGAAGGCAAATACTCGGTTATCTCTAAGGTATATTAAGCAGTTCGACCCGAGTTACACATTACATCATTTCGATCATAAAACTTCCATGCAAGATATGTACAGTTCAGATCAATCTGCCGATATCTCTCCATTATTAACAATACCTCGCGTGAAATTATATGAGCAGATGAGAAGAACTAAACAAAAAAGTTATTGCAATCAATATGGAATATTAGAAAGGTGTGCTACATGAAACGACTAAAGAAATACATTAAACAAATAATAAGTAATTAAAATGGAAAATTTCTTCATTTTCACACAAGAAAAATCAATATTCAGTCATCAGATCTTTTTGTGTAAATTGTAAAGAATAAAATTGAATTGGAATATTAAACTCTAAAGCAGGCAAACTTAAGATATTACAAAGATACGTAGCGGTCAATATAAAAAAGTATTTATTCGATTAATAATTAAAAAAATGAAAAGTAATTCAGCATTTTTTGAAGTAAAAACAAGTAATGACTAGTAAATAAAAATATTACAGCTAATAATGATAGTGGAAACATTTTATAAAGTAATAATTAATAATATTTAAAACGTTACTTCTGATGATAAAGGGAAAAAAAATAAAAATAATAAACAGTTAAACTCAGGTATTTCATAAAAACACAACAAAACCACAATTTCATACAAATTTTCCGATTACAAAGTCGGTTAAGTTGTTCATAGATTTTAAATAAATTAATTATCTTCATATGGACTAAAGATTGAATCGATTATAGTCACACAAATAAACACGTAAAAAAATACATTATTTTCCATCATCGATGTATATATCTCTAGATTATGTATGAGCTCATTGTCGAGTTAAGACTCATTGATGTCTTCAAACAACTTCATTTTGATTTAAAGCTGTAATTTTTTTGCTGGAAATATGTAAATTTTATGCAAACATCAAAAATTTTATAGTGCAGCGTTCGTATTTATCAGAGATCGAAGCCGATTTTTTCGGCTTAACTCAATTTTTGATTATTTTGATAGAAAAAAGCCATTTAACACCCATTTTAAGTATTTAAATTGAACTTTACATGCTTTACTATGATTCTGTGAAATATTTTTTCAGCATGTAGCTATAGTGAGCTCAGAATTTCAATTTAGCCGATTTTAAGCCGATCGGCTTAAATTTCGGCTTAACATTCTTTAACTTCACAGAATCATAGTAAAGCATGTAAAGTTCAATTTAAATACTTAAAATGGGTGTTAAATGGCTTTTTTCTATCAAAAAAATCAAAAATTGAGTTAAGCCGAAAAAAATCGGCTTCGATCTCTGGTATTTATCAATCCAAAAATCCAATAATTTTAAATCCGATTTACCAAAATAAGTTTGTATCTCTTAATAAGGGATAAGCTTGTATCGAAAATCAGAGGATAATTAATAATTTAGCCACATTAATATTGTATGAAGCACATGAATGAACCCAAACACGACACGTGAGTCAAAAAATGAATTTTCTTTTAATAAGACAAAAAATAATCATTAAATGAACTTTTTAAACGGAAGCGCATTTTAAAAAACACATACATCTAATTCCAAGAAAATATGAAAAGTAACCAATAATGAATATAAAAAAATAAAAAGATAATAGCCTCATTAAACTAGAAAATCACACAAGTTTTTTTTGCAAAAACTACTCTCAAACATAACTATAATAAAGAAGAAAAAAAATAATATTTTGTGTACAGAACAATCCATTACTCGCAAGTGCGTGCGATGAAGGAAAAAAGAACAGAACGAGTAAAATAAAGAACAAAAAATCTTCAATTTACAATAAATTAAAATTTTCATTTTCATCTTTTATTGAAAACTTTTAAAGCATTTTTCAGCATAAGCTAGGTTGAATACAGCAGAATTAAATAAGTTAAATACTCTCGACACTCAAGTTCATCTTAAAGTGACAACTTTCTCGTTCACTGACTTTAACGATTGCTTTCTCAAACTTTACTTGAACATTGTTGAATTCCATTAAGTTGTTAGGCTTAGCGTTCATCCAAAAATGATCAAACTCATAAAGTAAGTAGCAATAAAATTGATGGAAATGCTCGACTGTTGGATATCCGTGAATTTTTGATAGATTATAAAAATGTGACTTTGCTATTCCTGATTTCAGCAAACGCCATGCCATGTGAGTTATATTAATGCCTACAACAGCTAATGTATATCCATAAGTTGGATGTTGAGAATGTGAAAGTAAGTGTCGTGCAGTTCCAGGATACTCTCTTGAAAAGTATAGCAGATTTTCTAGTCCTAATATGCCCATTCCACGAAAATCTGTCGATCTGTATCGAAAATACATAAATCAGAAACAGCTATAACATAGAAAAATTGAAACTTACGGATCATCTCCTTGAAAGCCAATTTCTTGCCATTGCTTAGTGATTCTTGCTTCTAGTTTCACATCAGGCATCAAATTATTCCATAATGCTTTCAATTTATGCTCATGAGCATGATTCTCAGAATCATACGGCTCTAATCTCATTTGATCAATAATTGTGACAAGTCTTTTGTATCCATAAATTGCTTCTATACAACGAGCTAGTTGGTCCGAAAATTCTGGATGATATTTTGGATTTATCTTCTTTGCTAGAACGACTGTATGAACAGCTCTATTGACTATTTCAGGGTGGATATGCATTTCCGCAATAGGCTGTGAAGTACGTTCTTCCAAACAATAAACTAAGTGCCTAATTTGAGGTCTTTTGGACATGTTTAAAGATCGTTCAACTAATTTATATCTACGGTAACCATCCTGACATCCATAAACTAAACGCTAGACATGGGAAAGTTTCATTAACTCAATTAATTAATTTATTCATAATCGATGGTTTTAAGGCATGCTTACTTGTAATTCAGACAGATTTGTAAAACGATGAAGAAACCATTTAATTAAAGGACGTATAAACAAATAGAGGGAATTAAAGAAGTCACCAAAATACATCTTATTGATAAAATCTTTAACAGGGATTATCAAAAATCGTAACATCTATGATGTGTCTTTTTAGTTCGTTGTCATAGCAATTAATTTGGTCTTTTTGTCAGTACTATTAAATAAATTTTTTGGAATTTTCGAGAATGTATGAATTAAATGACTTTAGATCCCAATCATGATTAATTGGATAGTTAAAATTAAGCAAATAGTACGGCTTTTCTTAATCTAATTTAAAATAATTAAATAATTTTCAAACTTTTTACTTTTATCACTTGTAAGTTTTACCAAACAAAAAAAAATTGAGTTAAAATCTACTTGATGAATGTAGTTGGAAGCGCTTATATCCAACACTAGATCTTATGATTGAATTTTTATTTTGAGATCCAGTGAACGTTAAAGCGTGTATTTTAAGGGACAAAATTAAAATAACAAAATATTCAACATTTACTACATTTTCTTGATGTATCTGCTAATTTAGCTATTTTTAAACAACGAGATACAGCGAATAATATTAGACATTAAATGACAAAGTGAAAGCCCAAAAACGAATTGTATTTAGAAAAAAGATTCGACTCTAGCAAAACTGAGCAACGTACTGTAGGTGGCAGGTCTTTGCAAATTTGCATGCAGCATGACTGTTAATCGACACTAATTTCTAAGCATTATAAAATTCAATCTTACTGTTTATTGTGATTAACAATCGACTAATTAGGCATTAAATGCAAAAATCAGAGTCAGTCAAATATTCAAACTGTTTAAGTCACTTGAAAAAAGCTTTTCCCCAAAAATGAGAATGAATTTTCCAAAGAGAATTGACTTTCCAAAAAGGAAGTTTTCTCATTTACTCAATATTTATTCCTTATAAAAATATTGCAAATGATCTGTTCTGTATATTTGTGATCTGACTGTTAGAGGAAACGGACCATTTTGAGATAAATTGAATGTGATACATGAATTATTTAAGAAAAAACATACTTTTTATGTAATATGATAGTAAAAATGTGTAATGAGATGGACTAAATAATTGTTAAATAGACTATAAGTGTTTAAATTGTGAAGTGCTGATTGTCGCATTAAAAATAAACAGATTGATGTAACGGATAAGACCCAGAATGATATTATGTTTACTTATAAGTAAGTTATTTGTCGAGGTATCAATTTTGTAATTACTTGAAGAGTTGAAAAATTTTTTCATCTTTTTAAATTCATTTGTGTCGACCAACTTATATTCATGCACATTCACATTAATAAAAGGAAGAAAAAGTACATGAAAAATTTTTCTCCGGGGGAAAATTGAGGCAATGAGTAGGAAGTTGGCAAGCATAATGAGAAGGAATAGAAATTTAAATGTTAAAAAATATGAAGCTTTGTTAAGAAAATTGTGATCGAAAAAGATAATCAGTCGTTTTGTGTTATTAATGATTAGTCTTCATATCAGAACAGTTTCATTTTATTCTTATAAAGATGTAACATACTTTTCCTACTTTTAGATTAACTTGTGATTTGCGGCATTCTATTTTCAAAATCACTAAACTTTTGCATTTGCTCTCCCATATTTTTATTGATTTTTATCTCAATCCTTAAAAAAATCAGCATAAATATCATCCAAAAGATGATTACCTTTTTCAACAAAAATTTTCAATGAATAGCAGAACAATCATTTACCATCACGATTTCAATTTTAAATGAATGTATGAAGAATACACTGAAAAATTTTAAAAGAGATAATAATATTCATATATAAACATCGCATTACAGATTCTATTAGAATAAATGTTTGAAGAAAATTCTAGTGATTATATTGAGTGCTAGAGTACGGCGCATAATTTAAAAAAATTTTTTACGGGTTTTCTAAAACTGAACTGAAAGCCGTCTGAATTCCTTGCTTCGTTCAGTTTATTTGGAGACATTCCATTTATATCCTTTGTGCTTAAGTTAAATTAAAAATTTCTCAATTTAAAGGGAAAATTTATTCTTTTTTGGGTACCGAAAAAGCTTAAAAATATCATATGTAAACCAACAATCTTCAATTCAGCCATACATCCAAGTTATGTTTAAGAAATATTGAGTCAACTCTATTCATCATAAAGATTCAGTCGAAGAACAGAAATGAAATCTTACTAATTGAAAAGTCTCGTGATCAATGAAATGATATTTTCTTAATGTGTCCTTCTGCAAAATTCGATTCCAATGTTTTATCATCAATTTTTCATCATTTATTGTGAATGAAGAACACCAAGGATGCAACAAACTCTTTGTAAAATGAGAAAATAATCTCGAGTAGAGTAAGAACAAAAAGAAAAATTCAATATTGTGAAGGTCATGTGAGCATTGTATGCAATTGAATCAGTAAGTTGATTTCCCAGTAGGTACTCGACCATAGGAAAAAATGAGAATAAAGTTGCATTCCATTCCAATTTTTCTCAAAAAATCTATCATTCCAATATTCCTCGAAAAATGTCGGTTTCCTATGCAGCGAGTTGAGTATTTAGTTTTTAATAGCATGTGCTTTTGAATAGTTCATTTCCTACTCGATAAATATATTATTCCTTATTTCACTTTCAATCATATTGATATCTGATTATTTGTGAAGAAAAGTGAAAGCATATTATAGCGTGCAGAATAATTTAATGTTCCATCGGGGGGAAAAAAGCAAAAAGTTATTGCTGATTGTGAAATCTCATTTGAAGTTAATTAATGATCCAAAGAATACTAAGTATAAAAAAAGAATCATGGAAAGTGCAAGTAAGCCGTAAATCTATTCTGATTAGATTCGCGGTTATCGAAAACGAAAGGTAAAAATTGAAATGGTAAAGAATGAATCCTGATGTTGTTATTCACTGTGAATTTGCTGTGAATATTAATAATATCGATTTTCGATGTGTGTGTGTGTGTTTACCTACCAGGACAAAAAAAAAGTTTTGAAAAATTTAGTCAATTGGGAATAAAAAGGGGAAAATGTTATTGATTTTGAGTTCGAATGTTCGTTCAAATTTTTTTGAATTCATGTTAAATATGAACATTATTACATGTTTTTTTAAATTTACCTAAATGCATCCTGGCCCTGTTTTTCACGCTATTCGAATATTTCTAAAATATAAAAAAGATTCTTTCAAAAAAATATAAAACAAAATTTATGAATCACTCAATGATATTTCTTATCATTAATTTATCTTAAGAATTAAAGATAAAAAAAAACTGAATTTGTGTCTAAAATTAAATTTATTCAATTTCTTTGTTTTCATCGTTATGTATGACATTCAAAAATTTCAAAATAATAATGTTGAGCAAGTCTTAATAAATTTAACTTTCATTTTAATCCAACGCTTATCTAAATTCAGGCATTTTTCAATCAATTCGAGAGTGAATAAACTCAAAAGTGAAAATATATCCTGCTTGTTAATATTTCCGATGATAAATTTATTGTTCAAAAAATCAACATTTCCACAATTAATGGGCATTTGAAGAGGGAGGAACAAAGTTTTTTATTTTTTATAGGAATTTTAGGACTTTTTTATAAAAACCCTATGAAAACGAAGAAATTTCTGTTAACGTAGGGTGATTTGTCTCCCAAATCCTCCTTTATAGCTACGCGCCTGCCACAAAAAAAAATCTTAATGCTTAAAACTAAATATATTGCTGCACAAAAATCCTTTTCCAAAATGAGAAATTTTTCAAATCCAAGTTTTGATTAATATCCATTATTTATGTAAACTAGTGTATCGGGTAGAAACCCAATGCGGATTATATTCACACCGTACCATCAAAAGTCTTATGGATAGACCAAGATTTGCCCAGCATAAGTATTAAGGTATGAAGCTTGATAAGTTAACTGAGCTTCGCTCAGCATAAGTTTTGAGATATAAAGCTAGCGCGTCAGCTGAGCTTTGCTCAGCATAAGTTTGAAGGTCTAAAGCTTAACGTCAAAAGTTGAATTTTACAAAAATCACAGTAAACTTTTTATTTTGAAAAATTCGTGAGAAAGAAAAGTTTTTTGCTTTTTCTGAAGCAATGGCTGTTTCTACCTTGCCTAAAAACAATACAGCTCTTTTATAGAGCAGCATGGATCAAATGTAAAAAACTAGAAGTCTCTACGATGTCTCGTTATTGAGATTTCTTGCTGATTAACTTGCTTGTTTGCTTGTTTGCTTGCTTCCAAAAAGCGTATTTTGCGATTTTCTCAGCAATGCCACAACTAATTTGAAATCTGTTTTTTGCAAAAGATGTGAAATTTCAGTCACAAACTTTTCATCTTAGAACATGTTAAGCTATCTTCCTACATTTCATCGCAAAATGCAAAAAACTGATTTTTCAATCTGAACAAAACCAATAGATTCACACGTGAAAACGGTGTGAATATAAAATTATTAATACAAAACGTAGAAAAGCAAAAAATCGATGAATACAAAGTGAAGTAATACAACAGAACTTCTTTAATAAATCAAGACATTGTTGACATTGTTAAAAAAAAATTAAAAATCATGACTTTTGTGAATGCATATATGAGACAACGAAGGAATAATGTGTATTTTTCACGAAATTAATCATGAATTATTAAATCATCCAAAGAAATTTTCCTCCTTATTTTTTTTTATATTCTGTTCAAAATGACAAAAACAAAACAAGGACCTTGGAAAGGCATTCTTGGACGATGAGCACTTTTTATGTGTCTAGTTATGAAATGTTGAATGTGTGATTTCGTAATCAGAAATTAAAAGAATAAATTATAAGTTTCTTTGCCAGATCATTGTAATAGCTTAAAAGATTCTGTAGTGCAATGCATAAGATTTGAAAAGAGCAGATTTTCATTCTACGCTAAGCATAGAATTGAGAAAAATTATGAATTCCATTATTAAGATGAGTGCACTCCTACACTGAATACTGATGATGATTTAAAATTATTACCAGTGCTGTAGTCTGATTTTCAAAGTTAACTTCCTGAACAGCTTTCACCTGAGCAGAGTGGCTGTTTTTAGGCAGTTGGAATTACCTCAATCTAAAAATCCCTAAAATGCAGCTACCCTAAAATGCAGCTACCCTAAAATACAGCTACCCTAAAATGCAGATTTTACTGCTAAAGTACAGATGAAATTTATTATCCCTAAAATGCAGATGAAATGCTGTTGTTTTAAAAAAGGTATAATGCAGATGATTTTTATCGTATAAAGTGCAGATAAGATGCTACCTAAATGTAGATCGTATAATTTTATTAAAATACATCAATATTCGATGACTTTTTTTGTTGATGCGTGTTAATGACTTTAAATAATCCATGATGATCATTTGATTCTTTTCTCTTCTTATGATAGACTTAAATTTAAGGGTAATTATTTTGTCTGATGACATATTTATGTATATATTGGGTCGAGTATCCTTTGTATGAGCTCAAAAAAAATTGATCATCCAAATTTTAATTTTATAAAAATCACACCTGAATCTAGAAATCCCTAAAATGCAGCTACCCTAATATGCAGATAGTACTGCCAAGATGCAGATGGTGCTGCTAAAGTGCAGATGAAATTTATTTTCCCTAAAATGCAGATGAAATGCTGTTGCTTTAAAAAAGGTATAATGCAGATAATTTTTATCGTATAAAGTGCAGATAAGATGCAGCCCAAATGTAGATCGTATAATTTCATTAAAATACATCAATATTCGATGACTTTTTTTGTTGATGCGTGTTAATGACTTTAAATAATCCATGATGATCATTTGATTCTTTTCTCTTCTTATGATAGACTTAAATTTAAGGGTAATTATTTTGTCTGGTGACATATTTATGTATATATTGGGTCGAGTATCCTTTGTATGAGCTCAAAAAAAATTGTTTATCCAAATTTTAATTTTATAAAAATCACAGTCAACTTTTGTTTTGAAAAATTCATAAGAAAGGAAAGTTTTTTGCCTTTTCTGAAGCAATGGCTGTTCCTATCTCGCCCAAAAACAATACAGCTCTTCTATAAAGCAGCACGGATCAAATGTTTAAAATTAGAAGTCTCTACGAGGTCTCGTTATTGAGACTTCTTGCTTGCTTGCTTGTTTGCTTCCAGAAAGCGTATTTTGCGATTTTCTCAGCAATGCTTCAATCAATTTGAAATCTGATTTTTGCAAATGATGTAAAATTTCAGGCACAAACTTTTCTTATGGGACCTTTCATAACCAATGTTGCTTCGTTTTCTCAAAAAATGCGAAAAACTGATTTTTTAATCTGAACAAAAGCAATAGATTCACACGTGAAAACGGTGTGAATATAAAAAATACATTTGTAGATGTATCAATGAAAGTTGACAAAGTTATAACAAAATTTATAAAAATCATTCGTAAGTGACGCTTAATTAATGTGATTTTCCGATACAACTCCTTTACTTTAGGAAGTGAGCTCTATGTCAAAAATAAGCGAAGAAATTTTTGTTTTCTACAAGATAAAATAACTTTGAAATTTGCATTTCATATTTATTTTATTAAAACTATACGATCTACATTTGGGCAGCATCTTATCTGCACTTTATACGATAAAAATCATCGGCATTATACATTTTTTAAAACAACAGCATTTCATCTGCATTTTAGGGAAAATAAATTTCATCTGCACTTTAGCAGTACCATTTGCATCTTGTCAGTACTATCTGCATTTTAGGGTAGCTGCATTTTAGGGATTTTTAGATTGAAGTGTTGGAATTTGTGAAGATAGTAAAAAAAATTAAAATTTGATTAGTTTTGGTTTGATCACGCGCAAAACATCTCTGAATAGATAAATGAAAATTTATAGCTACCTCATAAATCTTAATTAACAACACTGATTGACATCAGCACGAGAAATGAATTGTCATAGCAATGAAACTCAACATCCATTAGAAATAGACTAATGTCTCATTAAAGGTGCCAAATTTTTCGTCATAAATTTTATTGATTTATGGGAAAAAGACCTAATAACTCTTTAATGGAAACATAAAATCAAAATAAGAGCTTTCAATCAAAATTTTACAATGAAAGCTTTTATTAATTTTTAAAAAGATTATCTTTTAATTTTTCATATCAAAAATGATTTAAATTTTTATGTTAATTATTTGGTAAAAACTTGCTGGTTATTTATTTTACACTTTAAAATTAACAAGATTTGTGAGAAATTATAAGGATATCTTGATCTCGTAATCCAGGAATTGAATCTTTTCTAATCCCTACAAAAACACTTGTTTTAGCGCTCTACTGGATCAGGAAATATTATGATATTGGTGTCAATCGATTCCTAAGAAGATTCAAAAGCTTTAAACTATCAAATATTTTTTTCATTTAAGGCTTTAAAATAATTTCTTATGAAAATTTTCAAATGATGTTCCACGCGAAAGCTTACAGATAAATCAACAAACCACAAAAAATAATAAGAACAGCTCTTCCTGTCGAACATAATGCGTAGATGCCATACGTGATTATATCGTGTTAATTAAGTTTCCAAGCTAAGCTGTTTTGAATTATTAAATTCTATTTGGATAGAATGTGTGAACAAGTGCATATTCAACCGTAATGAAGCGAGGAAATTTAACTAATTTATTAGGTTACGTGAAGATTGAAATTTTGTGAACTTGACCTATCATATGGATATAGTAAAACAAATTTTTTTTAATGTCCACTTTTATTTGTTGCCTAGACAACCTGACCAGGTAAAAATAAAAGGCAATAATACACAACAGGAGTGCTGGAGAAGGGGACGGCATATTCCATAAACAATATTCTCACTAAATTATTTGTTGGCAATATTTGTTGCTTTGGCAATGACTACAATCCTTCCAGTGCTTTACTTCCATATTTAGTTTATTCCAGAGCTTTTTTGTTGGTGAGAATATTTTTCCAAAAAAGTAGAGGAATAAACATTTCTGTGAGGTTTTTTCTCGTGGCAGGATATGATTTTTATTTGTTGAGCGTACATAGAAGAAGGAATTAGAATGTAAAAATTGAATAAAAAGGTTGCAATATTAAAAAATTATAAAAATTGCATGTCTTGATAAAACCTTTATTTTTTGTAAGAAACTTCTTGAGATGCTTCATTTATATAAATACAGGTATATAGCATCTTTTTTCAAAGTTCTTTTGTGCCCACTTCTAGAAGCATATCATTAATAGTGAAGTGAATCGTCCTTTTTTATTTACATGGTGAAAATTGTGCATTTTGTGCTTCCTGATAAGGAATGATTTTTTAACTGTTCAACAAACTGGTTATACTGATGTTAAAGATAGAAAATATTATTTTTTGTGTATATGTGTTACTTTATACGATATTTGCATAAAAAGAAAAATTAAATTTACATATTGGTTTCACTGAACTGCAGGCATGTAAACACTTCCATTGACACGAATAAAGGAACAAGTGAAGCAGAAAAGGCAAAAAATAATAAACATACTTATAACTGTTAACATAAAAACTTACAAATCTAAAACTCTTATTTAACTAGGAGTAATTGTTTGAATAAATAAATGCTTCTAAACCAATAAAGTATCATACTTCCTTAAACCAAAAACTCTTAATGAAGAAAGTCATGAACATTTTAACCGATTTTATTTTAATCATTAAATTTGATCATTGTTACTTTAAATTATGTCAATAACATGAACTTCAATCGGCTTCAATCCTACCAGATGCTAAGTGAACAGTTGAAATCTTTCGATTTTTAAGATCGTTATATTCACACCGTATTTATTTTAATCAAAATAAAATCTGTGAACCGTTTCATGATTTATAAGCATAAAAATTACAAGGATATCAATAATATGTAGGTTTTGCGTGGTAAAACTTCATTCATATGAAGCATTTGCACATCGATCAATTTTCAGTTGTAAAAATAAGCGATTGATGTGAGGTAAAAGGAAGTATGTGTGCATACATGTCGTCAAGGTTGAAAAACAAGAGTAATAAATTTATACTTTGTAATTTCAATTTCCGAGAATATTTATGCAGGTTGCTTGACTTTTCACACTTGCCATTCCTGCATATCATGTGTTATAGTGTACGTAAATATTATTAAAATCAATAAATTATAAATTTTCGGAGTCATTTCATGCCAAAAGGAAGTTAATTTCCAACACATTTTATGCCTTATTTTAACTCCGATTCCATTTTAATGACAGCATTTTTTTTTATTCCCTTAAGTTAAGTCTTCCTTCAAATGTGTACACAAGAAACTTTACGAACTGTAAGGTTAAGGAACGTCTTTTTTTTGGTAAAAACACGTTTTTTTTGGGGGGGCTTTGTAAGGTTCTTTCGCAATTTTTTTTTTGATGGGTGCTTTAAAAATATTAATTTTTTTAAAAAATAATGATGAAGATTTTTAAATATTGTACCTTATAAGTACCACAAAGCAGGTTGAAATGATTTATTTGTAAAAATTTAAATTCTCATCGCTTCATTTCCTTTCCTTTGCTCTTGAAAAATTTATGCTGTAAAGTAAATAAACGGGTCAGAAGTTTTAAATGATTGTGCACGAGGAAATTTTGCAATTTTTCAGAGTTCTTTAGAAAAGTTTTTTTTTCTTTTTAAGTACAGTTTGTCCAAATAATCAATTTTCAGCTAAGATGATTCGAAACAAATAAATTTTCGAAGAAAAAAAATCATTAATGGATGGAGAGCTTTTATACTTTCGAGCTTTTTGCTCAATTAATTTCTCTTTCTCGGTTGAGTGACATACCCTTAGTCCCATAGGACTTTGTAAGCTTTTTAAACAGAAACATAGGCAGTAAGAAGACTCTGCAGAAATTGAAAATTTGATTCAATTTTTATAGCTTGCTATCTCTTTATAACAATCGCTTTTCACTTCCATATACAGTGCGTATGATTCGTTTAGCCACACACAGTATTTTGCTTTTTTCTTTCTAATATGCAACTTATAAAAATTCAATTATACTATCAAATATTCTTCATTTATTACGTAATCAAGTAAGCTATAAATAATATTTTAAATAAAAGTAGGAAAGAAAAAAATGATAAAATAACAAAAATTTGAATTTTGAAAGTATGATCTCTTGTTATGAAAGAATCTATGGACATACAGTAGGAAAAGTTTCTAAGGGCAAGCGCATGGACATAAATATTTCCCGATTAAATAATAATCTCATTATTTTTATTGTCAGTTATTCCTTTAGACATAAACAAAGCTTCCATTGCATAATGCATCTAAAAGAGGTTTAGGTTCATTGTTATAATATGAAGGTATATCTTAAAATTGCTATCAGACATTATTTTTGAGATTAAAGTATCGAAATCATAAGCTATTTACAAAAATTTTAGAATCAAGAAGAACAATTTCGGTTAAAAGTCAAAACGAACCATTAAAGCGAATTAAAAAACCTAATTGACCATTAAAATTAAGAAAGAATAGCCTTAATCGTTTATAAAAATAAATTCAAGACATTTAATTTAAGTTATGACGTAATAATTTTTTTTTATAGACATCACATGTAAAAATTGAGTCAAAAGAAAAAAAAGCATTCAGTCAGAAGAAATATAAGTGTGCGATTCCTTTTTGACATCATCAACATTGTCATTCCTCTTCTTAAAAAGAACATAGAAAGAAGCTCAAATGAAGGATTTCGCACAAATTATGTTTTTATGGATTACATGTTGTGCCTAAACTGAAAAGCATGGAAACAAATAAAATTTATGGTGCAAGTTACAGTTATTAAATATGGGGATGTACCACAAGAACAGCGAAATTAGAAATTACTTTTTCAATTATTATGGCAATGTTGAAATATGTAAAATTATTTTTATGCCTCTTTAAAGTGCAAAGACACGACAATTGTCTTCAAGTTACTAATCAGCAATCCGCAAATATATGAAATGAGTTTAGAGTGTTGTAATTGATAATGGTTTTTTGTTGAAAATTTAAAAATGAAGCGATTAACAATTTAGTTTTATTTTTTCTTTAATGAAAATCATTTTTTTCATATTATAACAGTAAGCTAGACGTAGGAGTGTAATAATGAATTCAATTTGAGCGACGTGCTTATATTGTTTTCTGAAGAATTTAAATTTAATTTAAAAGCCCTAACAGACAAAGAGCATGCTCTTGATCAAGAGATAACTTGCATGCAAGTTTTTCCTTCATAACCTTTTTTATACTCTCAAGAGCATGATCAGAAGAGTTTATAAAAAGCATGATCATTGACATCCTCATGAGATTATGCTCAAATTTTTCTTGCAATATACTTCACAAGAGAAAGCAGAAATCACTTTTATAAGTAATTATTTTGGATTTTGTATAGTTAAATCAATATCTATATCAATATCTAATCAAAGAATAGTGTCAATTCGCCATTTGAAAGTTATTTAATTTCAGAAGGCATTAGACAAGAAGAACAGTTATCAGGACATATTACAACACAGAGTACTCGGGTTCGAATCACTGCAATCACCAAAAAAGAAGAAAAATATCAATTTCTCAAAAACATGATCAAGAGCATAATCACAAGCTCATAAAAAATTTTAAATAGTATAATTAAAGCATGATCAGCAGAACATGTTCTTTATCATGATCTCAAGTTTGACTTGCATGTATAATTTGCAAGTAAAAAAGCGTACTCTTGAGAGCGTGATTCTGTGGGTACCCTGCTGCGATCTCCATTTGTATGGGAGAGTACGCTAATTAAGCGTCATCAAATTAAAAAATTGATTTTTAAAAATCATGCTCAGATCGTGCTCTTTGTCTGTTAGGGAAGAGTGTCAGAATATTATTAGTACACTTTCGAAACATTTTATTCTTGGAAAATTATATTTAGGAGCTTTAGACTTTTATAAATGAGCATCGAAAACAATCACTGGATCTAGGTCTCGGATGGAAATACATTATTCAGATCTGTTCTGTTCTTGAGGAACAATTAAGTAATAGGAATAGTTTCTTGAATCTACATTAGTAAAATATAATTTTTCATCGTAAACACATACCGGTACTTAAATAATACTTGCTTGTAAAATTAAAAACGTAATTGCGTCGTCTCCTTAGAGGAATTATTTTCGTCATGACACTTTTGTTATATTCTGTTGAAAAGCGTTTCAAGCCTTCTATGTAAGATATACAAACTATTTGAATAATGAAATTCTTTTTTCATTGATAGATATTGAATAGTATACATTACTTGCATGGCTAATCAACAATCACATCATCGGTCTGTTGAGTTTGATTTTATTTTTTCTGTGTTTGCTGATTTTATCACATGGAAAAAGGAGATTCAAGCAGTGAGGAGCAATATGAACGGGTATATTATTCACCCTATTCAAAACACCAATATTGTACAGCAATTCGTTCAATAGATACCGTCAGAGCATTACACCAAACAGTTGTATCATTACGTACGGCACTTGATGAATCTCGTCAGGAAATTGAAAAGTTAAAGAAACAGATCTTAATCAATAACGAGATACAAGATGCTCGACAATGTAATCATCCGTTAAATTTATCACAACAAATTGATTATAAAGCACTAGGTAAAAAAGTCTCAGAATTGGAAAAGATTTATTATAAAGCTCATCCAATGAGCAATTCATCACAGGAGGATTTAGCAAACTACGAACTAAGAACTGAAAGAGGTGATTCTGAATTGTTGTCAGATGAAAATAAAGCGACAGCTAGTGATTCATTACATAAAGTACGAAAAGGTGATGGTTTTAAGAAAAAAATTTCATTAGTGCCTGATATAACAATCTCAACCCAAAATCTGAACGACTCCAATATAAGCGCAACAGGTGGAAATACAAACAATCAGATGGCGTCTCGAATTGATGTAAAAATTAAAGTGTCATCAAATATAAACGTTTCCGATAATAATGATGCATCGACAGACGCCTCTTCTGAGGCATCATCCGATACGCCTACACAGAAATCAAATTTAGACAAAAAGAGTGATGCAGACGTTGAAGCTGAGGAGAATAAAAGCGTTAGAGACGAAAAGGGTGTTGAGCAATCAAACGTATCGAAACGAGAGAATCCAAAAGTAGAAGTTGAGATGTATGAAGATAGTAATACTAATACTTTTAACGTTGATGCCAAAAATTTAAAGATAAGAGTAACATCCGAAGATAGCATTAATATTCGTAAGTCTATTGAGCGTATCAGTGTTCAACAAAGTTCTACAGAGTATTTAAATTTGGATATTGATGACTTGTCTGAGGGTGATAATTCCGTCTTTACTGAAGGTGCCACAACTCCAATTGAACAACGACTTCAACAAGTAGAAGAAATTGGATCTGACAATGAGGGTGTAGATGAGATGGGTGAATTGCCTCGAGAAGAACGCGAGGAACCGGATGATATTCCAGAAGAAGTTGACGATATTGAGTTAATTTTTTCATCTGATGATAATAAAGATATGATACAAGAAGATCTTGTTTCATTGTCAGAATATGAACCATGGCAAGAGCCAGGAGGCACAGGCACACCAGTATTAACAAGATTCTCAACAATCACTTCAGACGATGCTGATAGAGAAGCATATTATGAGAAGAAAAAAGCTCTAAGAGCAGCAAGAGCTCAAGCAAGAGAAAGCCTTAAGGATAAGAGTTTGGAAAGTGCAGACTCATTAAGTTTTGATAATACAAACCAAAATGCGGATTATAAGTTATCTAGTTTTGAAAAAGAATCCAGTATAGACGATCCAATTTCACGAGATAATAGCATAGATACATTAACAAGACCCGCAACTGCGACAAAGGGCAGATCTAATAAGAAATGGACTAATGTGAATGTACTCATTGAAACGGATATTTCCAAAGTTGGTATTGGGGAGGAAATTTCACTTGATATGAGAAGACGTAATACATGCCCTAATCCTCCTATTTACAGGTGAAATGAATATTGCTCTGAATTATCAGCTTTCATTAATGTCATTTATTTCGCAGGCCTTTGGGATATTCACAGAATCGATCATCATTTAGAAACTCAATAGCAGCCAAATATCCTCGCTCAATCCGTAATAATTATCCATTAACGACAACGACAAACTTATCATCTAAGGACAGGGAAGGCACAAATGCTGGCTCAAAAAATGGAGATTTGAAATGTAATTCGTTTGCACAGACAGATATTTCAGCATTATCGCATCAATGGCGCTCAGAAACACAACTAATTGGAACAGACTATTGTCTCGGAGGATATACATTACCATCAAAATATAACTCGCCTCAAGCAAACAGCAATAGAAGTGGGAAAAGCTCACTAAGGTAAGAATTAGCACGAAATATATCAAAACTCTGATTAAAGCTGCCTTATTTTCCGTCTTTTTGAAACCTTGTAAAAATCATCGATTTCTATTTCATTCATCCATTCCATCAGCATACATGATGATAACAAAGTCACTGTGTACTCATTTGTTTCATTTAAAAAAAGTACGTCTATGTACTTAAAATGATGTAGATGAAAAGTTTATTGTTATTTTTTTGCGGTAAAAACATAACGAATTTGGGTCAAAGCCTTTTTAAATCCCTTTCACCACAAAAGCTTTACATACATTGTGTACAAATCATGTGAATTAAACTTCAAACATTTAAGGCATTTGGAAAAAGAAAAAGCTGGCAATGGGATACACATGCGAACATTTGAGACGCAGTTGACTTTTCATTTAGGTATTTTTTATGAAATTAAAGCCACATGCTACTTAATTAATTCTTTTTTGAGTTTGATATGCTATTTAACTTATTATTTTTTGGTGGGAATAGGAGGAATCTGAACTGTTTTCAAAATTATATCAATGAATTTTTGATCATTTATTTCGAGCATACATTCATCAGAAACTTTAAATTTTTGAAGAATGAAAATAAATTAAATGCTAAGATGAATTCTATTTTATTTCAAAAGAATCACAAAAGCCAGATGAGAAGATCATGCAGTTATTTTTAAGCGAATTTTATTTACTTATTTATGATTTTATTATATTTTAGCCTATTTTATTTTCGAAAGCCTTAAAACAGCTTCAAAGAGTGTATTCCCTTCGAGCTTTTTCACAAAATAATGAATATGAATTTTTTCTAACTTCCTCTTTGTACAAAGTTGATCCAATTTTCATGATGATATAGAATTTTTTCTCATTCTTATATCTTCATCCACAAGTAAAATAAAATTTCTTGTTCTTCATTTATTTTTTTGTTGCACGAGACAAGCAAATGTAATCACGAAAAACATAAACTGAAAACAATTCTGATGTAAAAATTGTGTCTCAAATTATAAAGTGTCTCACATCGGCAACAAATTTAATAATTAAGAGTAAATAAGGAATGAATTAAGTGTCAAGTCCTCAATTAGCAAAGTTGAACGATTTAATTGATTTCTTTTTTTAAACTTAAACTTAAACTTAAACTTTAAACATTTTTGCAAATTTCTCTAATAGTTCCAATTTTTTGAATAGATGAAAAAAGTGTAGGATCAAAAACAAAACACATCTTTGTGTTTTACGAACAGGATTTGAATAAATCCGACGACCTTATAACAAACATTTAAGTTATCGTTCAATGATTGCATGTTTAATCTACGATCTAGGATGTGTCTACTTCAGAAACATACAATAAAAAATAAAATAAAAGTTTTTATGGAACAAGTACCTTAAAGAAGTTAATCGAGTTATGAAGAATGTGAAACACATCTCATTTTGCAAACAGATGTTTTCTTATAATTTAGGAATCTTTATAGTTTTCATTCGACAGCTATCGATTTAAAGCATCAAAAATGAGATCAGAAAATCTTGAAAAAATCTTCATTTCTGTTGTTTATATTCATAGTCATAAAATAGTGTCTTTGTACTTTTCATTTAATTTTTTTTTGTTTTCATTCCTTTATAATGTCATTTGATTCCTTAATTCCTGCAATATTTATTAGCATGCAATTCATTTTTTTTTGTTTTAAAGCGTCAATCTGCAATCAAAAAAAAAAGTTCTTCTTCTTTTATATCATAACTTTGTTGTCCTTCAGGCTTCTTAATTGCCTCATTGAATACTTAATATTCCTTTCTATTGCGATAAAGGCGTCGCGTGAGTAATAAAAGACAAACTAATTTCATTGAAGAAATTATCAAAAGAATATTTAAGTGAACAATGTGCTTAGTGTCTCCGAAATTTCCTTAGGCGTAATCCTAATGAGCACTTCAAATAAAAACGTTAAAAGCTTTACTTTTGGAGTCATTTTCAAGAATAATCTAAGAGCCTATCTGTCTTTGTGAGAATTTCAGCACATTCTGTTTTCAGCATTGTGACAAGAACCTTCAATTTTTGCGTTGTTTAAATTTGGTAAATATTTTTTATTTTTATGACAGCAATTTGGCATTTGAAAGAAGTGAAGCAATTTGCGGCTTCTATCGCTTCATTAATTTTATTGATATTACCATTAATGTGGATAAATTACGGCTTCAATAATGCATTGTTGATGCCGCAAAATAATGAATAAAGACAAAACTTTAATTTTATTGATTAATACTTTCGTCCTTTAAAGATGTCCTTTTAATGACATTCTTCCTTATCATAACCAAGTTACGATTCTCATCCTAAAGGCTTAATTTCTGCAAAAAATAAAATGTTTTGTGAAACACAAAACTATGAAACAAAATCGAAGTCAAAAAGTTTAAATTTAAACATAATTCCAATTATCACGTCAGTTTTAATAACACAAGAGACAATATAGAAAAACTTATTGATATTTTGAACGATCAATGATATGATAAATATGTCAACATAACAAAATGGCAAGCAATTCTCTTCATCTTATAACTTACTAATGTGACCTTAGTTATGATTGATTTTTATGCTATACGTAATTATTTTAATTTATTGATATAATGTGATGTAAGTCTTCTGGAGTGGAAAAAACAAAATCTACTGTCTGCCAATTCCATTCACCCCATTCCTTCAATCCATATTGATGTTATTGATTTGATTAAGTTGCGATAGAATGAGAAAAATTTTCTCCACTAATCTTGGGTAGGGATTTTATGCATCAGGAATAACAGAAGTTTATTATTTTAATCCTTAACATAAGCATTAAGTTAATCAGAGTACTTTTATGTTTTGTTGAGAATGATGATGATTCGTGAGAAAAAGTTCTACATTTATTGTTTCGTAAGAACTTTTAGGTAAATGCTATGATTAAAGCATACAAAAGAAACTTTCCTTGAATGTATAAAGAGGACATTTAACTGTTGAAGCTTCAGAACAAATTTCAATTTCTTTTATTTTTCTTCCTCTTTCATTTTTATCTGCCATTGAATAGGCTTTCAGAAAAGACACAAGAGGCACGACGAATATTATTAAGCGACATAAATTTTACAAGTATGGTACCCGAGCTTTCACGTTCAGCAGATCATTTATGTCAGCAAAAAATAAATGAGGAGGGAGATGAAGATACGGAATATTTTAAAGGAAATTTGTTAAAAACACCAGACTATTCGGGCCGTGGACTAACGCCAAGTACAAGCACACCAGGGGTTTCTCAATGGACATTTAATGAAAGTACAACACAAACTGAAGGATTTTGGCATAATCGGAATGATTCATTTGATTCTAGTAAAAGTTATTCATTAAGATCAGGCAATCAATCATCAAACATGCTAAATAAGCATCAACGCTCAAGGAGCGTCCCATCATTCCGTTGTTCAATATGCAAGCAGACTCACAACTCATTAAAACCTTCGGAGAGCATGCACTACACAAAAACAGTTACATTCCGAGGTAATTAAAGTTTTATTTACTTTATGACATGTGTCCAAAATTTCTTATATATTTCAATATTAAGAGCCTCTCCAAAAAACTCGTGGCTCATTGCCAGATTTAAGGCATGACTGTCATTGTTCGAGACGATGTGGCAGCAAAACATCACAACTATATCGTATGCACGAATCAAGCGGATCAACAGAAAGTCTATTGGAGGAGGCTGATGAATATATGCGACATTGTGCCGACGACTTAGGCGACTCTAGTAAAAAACCAAATAGACTATGCTCGGATGTTGCAGAAGCACATCGAGGTTTGTAAAAAAAATATTCTTGACACATGACAAGGAATATGATAAGCACAAAAAAATCAAATTAATCTTTCATTAGATTGCCATCAATCAAGACATATACTGCCTTTTCTGCCAAAATCTCCTAAATGCTTAAAGACAGGACAGCAAGCAAAAGTGATTGCGAAGGGTGGTCGTATAGTTGTGGGCAAAATACGTTACATCGGACACATTGCAAGTGATAAGAATGAAGATGAAATTTATGTCGGATTGGAATTGTTGAATGCCCAAGGAGATTCGGATGGATCTTTTAACGGAAGGAAATTCTTTGAATGGTGAGTAATTTTTTACTTAAGGCCTGAAAAGGAATATAAACGTTGATAATTTATTAAATTATCTCACATTTACAGTGAATCTAATTATGGTATTTTCGTGCCCTTTAAAAAAGTCATCATGGCGTGGAATTAAAGCTCAACTTTTATTTTCGTAGACATAGTATTTTTCTTAATGATAAAAATATGAAAAATTTGTGGACTGATTTTTATCTCTAATTTCTCATTGTCTCTCTTGTTTGTATGCTATGACATTTTGCCGCCAATAGCATACTGGTAATGATAATGTTAAAATGAAGATATATTTCTAGACAGCATATCAGATAAATGGGGTGTTTCTAGAACTTCTAAACTAATGTAAGGAGGATATTGCTCGTATGCAGTGTCTATTAACTGATTTTTCTCTTGGTCTAATTTTTCTCATATTGTCTAATGTATATCACTTAATCAAAGTGGGAAGGGAGAAAAATCATTGAAAAAACAAATAAATTAATAAAACCTGCATCACTAGATGCACCTCTGTATACAAATAATAATATAGTAAATTCACTAGATGGATGGTTTGTAATTTGATTTATCAAAGAAATCTGTAAGTTAAATGATGAAAAATTCATTAAGTTAAAATATATGGCATACGTGTAGCTTCATGGCCTTGATTTAGATTAAATTGATTTCGTAGAGAAATTTTCGTATCAAATATCAAAGTGAAAATCGTTTTGTGTTCTATTTCATTTTTCACGTTGGGGATATGACAGACATGGAAGAAATGTTTGCAGATAATGTTACAATCAATTCAATCAAATTTTATTGAAATGTTATGTTTTTTGTGGAAATTGGAGGATTTACACTCAGCTATGGAAAGTTTTCTACACAACAGAGAGACATACAATATGTATATTGTCTTCTTCATCTTCCTGAAAAGAAAGTGGAATGGATGAAGCATTAGAAAGAAGCTTTGTAAGTGATTTAAAAGCTTTTATATTTTTATGATGGAATAGAAGAAGATGCTTACGAAAACACAAAAACATCTGCTTGACAAGATAGGAAATTTTATTAAGAAATAAAACAGATAAATAATATTTGAAAAGTTTATATTTGATGCTTAAGATCCAAAAAATCCAATCAAAATAAATAAAATTGAGAATATCCACATTACTAGTAGCTTACTAGTTGCTTACACACTCAAATGTGAATTTTAAATTCAACTTACCAAAGCATTCATGTTCGAGTGAATGCATTTCCTGAGTAATACATAAACTTTAATTTCTTATCTTAAAAAGGAACTGTAAAATGTCTACTAGAATTGATTCAATGACTCAAATTTTCTTAAAAATCATTAAAAATAAGTGTTCTGAATCAAACAAGAACTGAAAATTTTTGAGCGACAAATATGAAAGTTTCTTTGCTCGAATAGCAAGAATAGCAGAAAAAACCCATGAAAATAAGATTTTTGTAAAGAACAAATATTTAAGTTTACCTATTTATTAAATGGAAGTAAAAATAAGTTTATAATTCTCAAGTAAGCTTGACTTTTCATTGACAGTGAGCTTTTTCATAATAAGTGAGAAATATTTTTATACAGCAAATTCATTTTATAATTCCATAATAAAGAAATCTTTCTAGTCATCACAAATTCATTCTAGATAATAATATGGAAAAGAGTTAAAGTAATTATTAACTTTATAAAACTATGTCTGTTGATTTCTACGCAAGCTCTGCAAAAAATAAGTAGAGTGTCTTAAAATCTGTTGATACAAATGTTTATAATAAGAAGAAAAACAGCATGAAGTAAATCATGTTGTGATATATTAAATTTAATAATATTGAAATTGGGTAATCTTTTACCCTCTGGAACTAATCAAAATGTGGAATAAAAATATTATGGACTAAAGTAAATATCTAGATTCATTGGTTTATAAAATAAATAAAGAAATATTTAGATGAAAAGTTGTGCGAATAAGGAAAAAGATAGTATTGTTCTATGTAAACTCAGATTTAACCTAAAATAAAAAGAGAAACTGTAGAAGATGGATTTTTTTTTTCTTTGAATGATACGATGGATGTGAAATCAGAAAAATTTGTATTAGGTAATTTTCAACTAAAGGGGTTTTTGCATGATTATTAAAATTTGTGAAAGAAGAACTTCTTTATTTTAGATGTGTTCAAAGTAAAAAGCGTTTAAAAAATTTCAAAGTAACAAGCATTCTTATGCAGTTTTGGAATATCCCTTTCAAAAAAACTCATTTTTCTTTACATACAAAAATTCTTTATTTGATCCTTCTTTTTAACAGTATAATTTTTATTGTAGTTTAATTTATTCATGTGATCATATCAACTTGTCATATCCTATTCGAGGTAATGAATATAAAATTATAAAAAAAATATTTTTAAGTTTATGATGTGTGTGGACATTTATAATTTGGGGCATTTAACAACTAAAATGATAATTTCTTTTTATAAAATTTTTTTTGTAGGAATTGAGTTGTGGATGTTTATCGACCTGATTGATAAACATCCTATAGTTTTATTTTTTATATTTAAACAAAATGAACATTTTCAAAACTTTTTAGATGCACAAACTTTGTGGAATTATGAAAAATTAAAAGTCTTCATCTTTTTTAACATTTATTCCGTTAAATTTATGCCTTAATAAGACGTTTTTCATTGAAAATTGTTTTCGTCTGAAATATTTTAAAAATATAAACATTTTTACAGAAAACTCATTGATGAGGATATGCATAAAAAAATGTATACAGGCATCATTACAAATTCTAAGCATGTTCATCCTTCAAGTTGATGCATCGTGATTTACAAACATAAATTTGATTTTTTTTATTGAGCTTTAAGCAGTTCTCGTAACTTAAATGTTCAAATCAATTAAACTAATAACGACAATTCCTGTGAGATTCTAGTAGTTCTTCAAATGAAAGAGATTCGTTCGAGCAGCAATGTCAATAAAAACTCTTTACAAAATAATACAAAACCGACACCTAATAAATTGACTTTAAAATTTTCAGGGAAATAATAAATACTTTTGCATATCTGACCTTTTTCAAAAAGAAAAAGGAACGGAACGGTGATTTAAACAGTAAAAAATGAACCTTCATTTATCATAATTAATCCTGACTATAATTTCATGCCTGTATCAAGTTGTAATGCCTGCTTCATCATCTCGTATGTTGCAAATGACACAGCAACCATAGGAATTGCACGCAAATAATTTATTGACATTCCACGATAAAGTCCTTTCGAGACACCATTCTCGACATAAATAAGCTTCAATGTACTCCACATGCCCATACTGAAAGAATAAAGGTAAATCAATGTTATTAATTTTCATCGTATATCCAATCTGTTGCTCTAATTTACAATTAATAAGTTACTAGAAGAGCTTTCGGCCCGTGAAGAGCATACATTCCATTTCGATACAATACTATCTTAAAAATTGCAAAATTCTACTCGGATCTAACCGTATCTCCATCAAAATCTATTTTAATTCTCCAAAAAGCCGTCTGACAAGCAATCAGGATGTGACTGAATAATAATAAAGATTGATGTATGACGTATGGACTGTTACAACGGAATGTGGAGAACACATAAATAATAGAGAAAGAAAATAAGAATTGATTCGTGTGGGAGCAAAACGAGAAGAAGGCAAGGAAAATCAATTATACAGCCCTACCTACCAACATTTTAAGATTTATTCTTAATGTTTATACCGCAATTTACAAAAGATGTAAAAATTTTTTTATCCATTGCAAATTGTTTGTAAGAGAAATAAAACTGATTCAAAGTTTTAAATTAAGGTAATTGTATAATAAAAAATATTTTTTTGAGCCTGTTTACAGCTGTGAATCAAACACGAAGAGGTATGAGGTCATTGAACAGAAATAAGCGAGAAAGAAAATCATTTTATGTTTTTTAGGATTTTTTTGCACGAACATAAACAAGTAACGCTGCTCTAATGACATCAAATAAACATTGGATTTATCTGTGAGAAGTTTCCTGTCATGATGCAAGTGCCAAATGTTGATATCGTTAATGCTTGTTGCCATTTTTAATAATGAAACAAATTTGAATAGCTAATTGTGATCAAGTGACAATGTGCTATGAAAGCAAAAAATTACTTACAATCTTCTTCATATCCAAAATTAAATCAAGGCTTCAACAATTTTATTTTTAGAATGCGTCAATATCAGCACAATAACAAGACATTGTCAAATTCCGAAAAAATATCAACGAAGAAAAAATAAAAGCTTTTGTTTGGTTGCTCAATTTATACGCCTATTGAAAAGCAATATAATTTCACATATTGAAGCGCAGATTATGTTGAAAAATTATTTCTGATAATTTCTCATGTTTTTCTTCTTAATTATCAAATGAACATGCGGAAATCTTTTTTAAGTATATTGCAGTATATTGTGGCTTTAAATATTTCAAATTCTGCTTAGGTGCCGTTCACTTATTACGTTCGCATTTTAGGAAGGAAGGGGGGGGGGGGGGGGTTGAAAAATTGTAAAAAAATGTAATATAGGAACATTTTTTTAAATTTTCCACCTTTTTATCAAAATAAAATAAATTATGAATGTTCAGGGGGGAGGGGGGGGGGGGGGGGGGGGTTGTGAGTTGTAACAAGGGGGAGGGGGAGTGAAAAAAGTCATTTTTTTGCAATCATTATTGACCTTAGCTCTTAAAGTTTGATTGAAAAATTGAATGTCCAATATCGAATTACTTTTATTATATTCACACCGTTTTCACGTGTGAATCTATTGGTTTTGTTCAGATTGAAAAATCAGTTTTTCGCATTTTGTGAGAAAACAAAGCAAAATTGGTTATAAAAGGGCAAGAAGAAAAGTTTGTGCCTGAAATTTTACATCATTTTCAAAAAACAGATTTCAAATTGGTTGTGGCATTGCTGAGAAAATCGCAAAATACGCTTTCTGTAAGCAAACAAGCAAGCAAGCAAGCAAGTTAATCAGCAAGAAATCTCAATAACGAGACATCGTAGAGACTTCTAGTTTTTTACATTTGATCCGTGCTGCTCTATAGAAGAGCTGTATTGTTTTTGGGCAAGGTAGGAACAGCCGTTGCTTCAGAAATGGCAAAAAACTTTCCTTTCTTACGAATTTTTTAAAACAAAAGTTGACTGTGATTTTTATAAAATTCAACTTTGGATGAAAATTTTTTTTAAAAAACTTTTAAAGAATATTTGGCATATTCGTCAAGCTTTATACCTTCAAACTTATGCTGAGCGTAGCTCAGCTGACACTCTAGCTTTATATCTTCAAACTTATGCTGAGCGTAGCTCAGCTTACGCGAAAGCTTTATAACTTCAAACTTATGCTGAGCGAAGCTCAGCTGCCTCTCTAGCTTCATATCTTCAAACTTATGCTGAGCGTAGCTCAGCTTACGCGATAGCTTTATAACTTCAAACTTATGCTGAGCGAAGCTTAGTTGACTTATCAAGCTTCATATCTTCATACTTATGATGGGCAAATCTTGGTCTATCCATAAGACTATATGGATAGTACGGTGTGAATATAATCCGCATTGGGTTTCTACCCGATACACTAGTTTGTCTTGCTTTTATTGCTTATTGACTACAAGTCGCCATTCCTGACAGCTGTGAAGTGATATTATTTTCTAAATTCTATTCACATACCCAAATTTAGCCGTAAGTGGATCCATCATAGCAAGCTGCATCCGCCTTCGTGTGACATCAAGTGGATAAGAGAATGTTTGTGCTATCGCTCCGGCAAGACCACCACATAATAATTTTGCAGGTACTATCAAAACAAGACCACCTAAAAAAAGAACACGTATGAGTAAGATTTAAAGCATTCCTCTTGGATGTTTTCATTGCCTGTATTTCTTTCTAAGGTATTGCACGTCCAATGTGGACTATATTTCATGCATGCATACTTTAACATTTCGAAGCAGTAAAACGAGAGTCCAGCATAAGGAGCCATGCCCATAAGTGTAGGTAAAAATCCTCGATAAAGAGCTCTAACGCCTCCTTCCTCCTTCAAAATTGATGTTGCTGTATGAATAATTCCATTGTACCTATGTTCGCCTGTCACTTGAAACGCTAATCGGGCTCGAATTGTGTCGAGAGGATATGTTAATGTTACTGCTGTTAATCCCGCACCGGCACCGGCGAAAAATTTATCCGCATGTCTAATCCTCGGATTTGGACCAAAATATCTACCAAAATACTGGAAGCAGTAAGAGAACATTTTATATTGAGACGATGAAATCGATTATGTAAATTTTCGTACTTCCTACCTTTTTGTAGAATTCAAATGCTGTGAACTGAGTGGCTGCGTATGGAAAAATACGAACCATTTGTGCTCCATTGCCTTTATAAAGTGCTATAAACGATTCTTTCTTAACAATATTTAATAAGCCACTAAATACCCCGAGATGCTTATAATGTGTTTGGTGTGCTTGAAGTAAAATTTTCATTCGATCGAGTGGTGCTACTGCGGTTTTGGAACACATTCCTGCTACACCTGTAAGGCAAAAAAATCCCATAATTAGAATAAGGTTAATTTTTGAGTAGATCAAATACATAGTTAAGCAATTTTAATTTTTTATTGTCACAAAGCATAAGTAAACACAAAAAATCATCCGCGTCAGTGTGCACAAAGGAGGCATAAAAGTATCTATTGTGCAGAGACAATATTAACATCCGTAAGATTTGGTTATTGTGTTGATGATACCTTCTTCATTAATACTTCAACTTTCTTTTTTTCTGTTATTTCATTTTGTCTGCGTTAATGTACATTTTTTATCAGTCTTTACTTCCACACACATATTCATCAGTTTGTCGATCACTGGATGAGATAATTGTGTATGTTGCTAACTGTTTATCGCTGTTGCTTAAGAAATCATCTTCTCTAACATATGACGATCTACTGAGCTTCTTATTACCCGAACATGCGTAAATTTTTTTAAACACGGAAATCATTCTCGCAAGCATTTCCGCTGGTTGATTACGTAGTAAAGATAATATTATTTTAATCAATGCTCAAGAGTATGTACATTTATGTTGAAGGCAAGATGATACAAAGTAGGCACATATCAATTGATTATGACATTGAAACCAAGAAGTAAGCTGATGTACACGATTGATTGCGGAAATTTTTGATTTGATAAATTGTGTGTTAAAATCGGAAGAAATTGGATTTAAAGATATGTTGGAAAAGGTCAATGATTTCGGTAGACATTAGGATGTTGCAAATTGCTTAAAAATCTACCCCAATCGTAAATAACAACGACTCTCTGACAAAAGTTTGCAGACATGAATAAGCAGCGATATCGAGTACATATTTAAAGACAATTTTCATTTTAGTCACGCTTGAATAGCATAGACGGACGACAAAATCCATGAATTGAGCTTTTTAAAAATTGATCTAGTCAGTGAAGTAAACTTTATAATTATTTATTTTCGCAATGAGAGAGTCTAGCATTAGGCTTAAACATGCTCGTAGGGAAAGACATCAATAAATCATTTTATTGTACAATTATCAGCACATCTCATGCATAAGCATATCATTAAATATTATGAATGAATCTGTTGTATAGGATAGACAGAACAATTCTGCTCAACAGTTGCGCAACAATTCTGCAGAATTATTCTGATAAATTCTGTAGAATAATTCTGATAACAACAGAATAATTCTGATGAATGTTGCGTGACATGGTTGTAACAAAAAAAAAAAAATCAACCAGAATAATTCTGAAGAACTTATTTGTATTCTGCTGAATTATTCTCCAGAATTTTTTCCAAACATTTTTTTACAAATTCTGCATAACACTATGGGGCAAAATGAAAAAAAATCGATGATTCAAAATTTTTTTTGACTTTTTCGAGTTACGATCTCTGGGTGATTTTTTCTTATAAAGGACATCAAAACTGGATTATGATTCAAATTTCAGGTCATTTGGTGCTGTTTTTGCGATTCTGTGGCTGTTTGAAGTTGGAAAATGACGAAAATTTGAATTTTTTCATGCATTACTTAAACTGCAATTTCTCTACAATGGCTAAAGATATTGAAAAAATGTTTTCAGTTCCTAATAGTAACATATAAGAGCTTTATTTTGATGTGGCACAAAGTTTGGAAATATTTAGTTGTGGTTCCGATATAGTACAAAGTATATGAAAATCCTATGAAAAATATCTTTAAACGTGCCGCAACTGTCCAAAACGGCCATTTTCCCCCCCATAAACCATATATCAGTGCAAAGTTCTTGCTTTTTAGTTTCCAAAACAGTAATAAAATTGTAATTCTGTAGAGGACTAGAAAAGTTATCGCAGTTTAAGTGAGATGACAAATATTTTGCCAAAATTAAAATTTTCTCATAACTGTATAGAAAAAATAACCACAGATAAGGTTTGTTCTGTTTTTCAATGCCAAATGTTATTTAAAGATGACCTGTGAAGAAATTTTTTCAAAAAGTTCAAAATTTGTCGATATATAGGGTACTTTTGATATCTGACGACTTGTATGTTTTTTTCATCACTCAAACCACTAGTACTCTTAGAAAATTAAATATTTTTGAATTTTGTTTTCAGTTTATTGTAGCTTAAATCTGTACCTTTCTAATGATGTATAAAACTTGATAGTTGACTTTGATCTTGGTCATGAATATGAGGCTTGTTTGTGAGCGACCCTAAACTAGAAAAAATCTCAAAAACGTCATTTCTAGAAATACCACTTGGAAACAAAATTAAGTATTGAATTTTGGTTTTTTATGATGATTTATGATAATTATGAATAAAAACACTCAAAAAATTGTATTTTATAAACTTTTGGCTATCTCAGGTAGCTTGTTTAAGTACGATCCTAGTAGTCTTTATTGGGTCAAAAATTCCCAAGTATTACACTATTTCTTGGATGCTTATCGGTTGATATTTCATATTTATACAGATTTTAAGCAAAATAAGTCAGTTTAAAATATTTTTGTTTGATAAATTTTGGTTTTTGGCTATTTTGTTAAAGTTCAGCTTGCGTCGGTCACATTCAATTTACTCCAGAAGCAGCTATGATGAACTTTCATACAAGTATTATACATCATTTTAAAGGTATTGATCTAAACTAGCAATAATCGAAAACAGAATGCAAAAATATGTATCCTGAAAAAGGTTAGAGCTCTTTATGTCCATCAAAAAGCCTACAAAAGCGCAACCAGCATAGGTAAATTTACAAAAATTGAAAATTCGATGACTACTATTAAAGCAAATTGTTAGAAAAAGGTTTAATGTATTAAAGAAAATAATAATAAAATAAATTTTGCAAAACTAAGTGTGAAATTTTAAATTTTTGTAAATTTACCTTTGCTAGTTGCGCTTTTGTAGGCTTTTTGATGGACATAAAGAGCTCTAACCTTTTTCAGGATACATATTTTTACATTCTGTTTTCGGTTATTGCTAGTTTAGATCAATACCTTTAAAATGATGTATAATACTTGTATGAAAGTTCATTATAGCTGCTTCTGGAGTAAATTGAATGTGACCGACGCAAGCTAAAATTCAACAAAATAGTCAAAAACCAAAATTTATCAAACAAAAATATTTTAAACTGACTTATTTTGCTTAAAATCTGTATAAATATGAAATATCAACCGATAAGCATCCAAGAAATAGTGTAATACTTGGGAATTTTAGACCCAATAAAGACTACTAGGATCGTACTTAAACAAGCTACCTGAGATAGCCAAAAGTTTATAAAATACAATTTTTTGAGTGTTTTTATTCATAATTATCATAAATCATCATAAAAAACCAAAATTCAATACTTAATTTTGTTTCCAAGTGGTATTTCTAGAAATGACGTTTTTGAGATTTTTTCTAGTTTAGGGTCGCTCACAAACAAGCCTCATATTCATGACCAAGATCAAAGTCAACTATCAAGTTTTATACATCATTAGAAAGGTACAGATTTAAGCTACAATAAACTGAAAACAAAATTCAAAAATATTTAATTTTCTAAGAGTACTAGTGGTTTGAGTGATGAAAAAAACATACAAGTCGTCAGATATCAAAAGTACCCTATATATCGACAAATTTTGAACTTTTTGAAAAAATTTCTTCACAGGTCATCTTTAAATAACATTTGGCATTGAAAAACAGAACAAACCTTATCTGTGGTTATTTTTTCTATACAGTTATGAGAAAATTTTAATTTTGGCAAAATATTTGTCATCTCACTTAAACTGCGATAACTTTTCTAGTCCTCTACAGAATTACAATTTTATTACTGTTTTGGAAACTAAAAAGCAAGAACTTTGCACTGATATATGGTTTATGGGGGGGAAAATGGCCGTTTTGGACAGTTGCGGCACGTTTAAAGATATTTTTCATAGGATTTTCATATACTTTGTACTATATCGGAACCACAACTAAATATTTCCAAACTTTGTGCCACATCAAAATAAAGCTCTTATATGTTACTATTAGGAACTGAAAACATTTTTTCAATATCTTTAGCCATTGTAGAGAAATTGCAGTTTAAGTAATGCATGAAAAAATTCAAATTTTCGTCATTTTCCAACTTCAAACAGCCACAGAATCGCAAAAACAGCACCAAATGACCTGAAATTTGAATCATAATCCAGTTTTGATGTCCTTTATAAGAAAAAATCACCCAGAGATCGTAACTCGAAAAAGTCAAAAAAATTTTTGAATCATCGATTTTTTTTTCATTTTGCCCCATAGTGCATAATTAAAAGTTCTGATAAATAACTTTATGAAAATCTGATTAATGACTTAGTTCTTGCACAATTACAAATAATATGGAAATTAAAATAGGAGTACAACCTTTTTCAGTATTTCAATAAGTTTGAAACAGAATTGATGAAGAATTGCTTTTGACTTTGCCAAATATTTTCCTTTTGCTCCTCTGGTTTGAGGCCTTAAATAGTTCGATATAATTATTCATTATTGAAACTTTAATCAAAGATTATAAACAAAACGTATATAATTTGATAAAAATTTTGAATATTAAATTTTTGAGATCGAATTCGACACGATTATTTTTTAAAGGAAAATTATTAAAGAGTTGCAAAATATTAGCTTTTTAAGAAAAGTTGGTGTGGAATTATGGCTACCGGGTTCGAATCTCACCACCAGCCTTGTGATTTTTCAGCAGTTTAAGACGTAAAACTAAGAATTAGGCGATGTGAGATCAAGGAACGGGTCAAGAATTATGTAGACAGAATGAGAAAGATAAGAGAGCCGTAAATTCACCATGGAGGGCTTTACTGGAACGGACCTGCAGATGGAACGAAAGCCGACATTAACACTAGTTCTAAGATCAATAATCAGTTTTTAATTGGCTAGATAGATAGAATGTAATGTAGGGTTTTGCTTAGAGCAAAAACGGCACTGCGATCGATGATCTGTTGTACCATCCCAAGCCATCTATGATAAAATTCCTATGTCCTTGATGAAGCCAATAATGTCCTGATAGTGCTGTCTACTAATATCCTCATCATTTATATAATCCTT